CTTTATAGCGTCAGCACACAGGAAGGAGCTTTTGGCAGTGAGTCAAAAGTGTTAGTGAGATCTCCTATCTAAGACTATTTCCACTCTTCTCTGAGTCCCTTCAACATTCAACAGTGCTTAGATAGCGCTAACAGCGAGATATCCCATCTAGGGGGTTGTCATTCAAGAATAGCTCAAAGTGTGCACACTATTATTTATCACAAGTTAACATGCTAAATTAAAATTTTAAACAATATTAGATTTTAATGACAAAAATAATAATGTATTGCGTTCAAATTTTGGAAAAGAAACATTTACATTGTTGTTTTCATCAATGATTTTTTAATTACAAAAATAAAATGAATGAAGTATTGAATGAACTTGAAGTGTACAATAAGGGGTAATCTTTAGGGTTAGCAACGGTTCGGTTATAGGTTGGTTCGGCCAAAATCATAACCGCACCATCAATTTTTTTTACCATACTATAACCACACCATAACCACGTAAATCGGTTCGTATTTCGGTCGATTCGGTTAATAACCACGAAAATAAATTAATTTTTATAGGTTCATTCGTCAAGTTGATATAAAATAATTTATGAAAAAAATCAATGAAAACAAAAACACAATATTCCAAATGAAAATGCAAACATTATCTCAATTTTCAATTACAAAATACAAATTTAACAAACAATATTATAAATATAACAATACTAAAATTTTTCTTTATTCTTAATTATTGTGCATCGAAGTTATTTGACTCATTCTTCTCTACAAGTCTTACTAGCATAGATCAACATTCAAAGTTGATTCCTATATAGTAAATACGAAATGTAAGTAGAGAATATAATGATACTATCTATTTCAGAATGGTTTTAACTAAGATTTAAATAAAAAAAATGTACCTCTTCATCAGCTTCCTTCTCACTAAACGTTGCACAAGCTATAGAGTATGATGAAGGAGTAGAATTTTTTATACACAATAGAAAAAATTAACAATAAAAGAAAGTGTATAAATATCAAATATAAAACAATAAATCATACCATGAATATTAGTCTAAAGTCAATCACAATCACACATGAAAGCTTCTAAAGTTTTCGGGTGAAGCCTAATTCTATATGGACTCACAAATCTACCACTTGTACTAAACACTGACTCGGATGCCACAGTGGATACTGGAATGGCTAATAAATCTCTTGCAACCTTCTGTAAAGTCGAATATTTTATTGAATTTGCTTTCCACTATGTCAATAAATCAAAACCATCAATCCTTGACAATACTTGCACGTTTAGAAAAATATCGAACTCTGTTTTTACATGATCAGCATTAATAAAATGGCTAACAGATGTAACAAATTTTCGGAGGTGACGACAATTTGGATCGTGGAAGCAGTGGAGCCGTGCGTGAGTTTGTGGTCTGTAGAAAGTAGAGTTTCATTTATACACTGTCATACTAATGCTATTATTATGGGCTAATGGTAAGAGGGCTGGCCAACTGAGTCAGGTAGATGTAATGGGGGGATTTTGTTTTGGTCTAGATAGAAAAGCAGTGTAAAGTCCAATAATCAATTCAATTGTGTGTGTGTGTGTATTTTTTTTTTTTTTTAGCGGGTAATTAGTTCGGTTTCAGTTTGATGGCGTAAATACCATACCCGCACTACCACGAATCGGTTCATTAAAATCAAAATCATATCTGCTCTATTGCACTATTGATTCAATTTTTTTCGCTCCATTCGATTCGATTAATCGCAATTTTCGATTTTGACAATTCAAATTGCCATACCTAGTAATCTTTACTACTAACACTTAGTTGACCATTATTCGCTTGTGCTCATTTGTTCAAGTGTTGGGATCATAAGCTCCAATGACTATGCAATGTCATTTATTAGAATTAATGAAATGGTCAAAGTCGTAAAAAGTCTGTCCATGTGGTCAAGCAAGAGGGTATTTCATACTTCAAATTGTTACACGATCTTGTAACTTAAACCCTCAAGTTGACCCATCAATCGTTTTCGTCTAGGAATATGGAGCCGCTATAATATTATTATTTTACATTCAATATTAATAGATTTTAATATCAGTTTCTCAGAAACTACAATATAATTAAGCACTATAAGAATCCTATGTTTCTTTGAGTTCCCTCGTCTTTTCCAGCTTCACATCTTTTATTTGAAATCAAAACTTTAGGGGGTGTTTGGTTTGCCGTTCCAGTCGTTTTCTGTTTTTAGTTTTCGAAAATGTCCAAAACGCGTTTAGTCACTCATTTCTGAAAATGTATTTCTGAAAACAAAGAAAAATTTATAACTGAAAACTCAAAACATTTTTTTTTTCCGTTTTGAGTGTTTTCAATTAAAAAACTCAAAACGCGAAAAACGCTTAAAACACGCCTTTCCCCCCCTTTTTTAGGGATGCTCAACAATATTTTTAAAATAATAAATTCATCAAATTTAAAATATATATTATCTGGTAATATATCAGTATAAAATTATTATATTTCACTAAATAATCAAATTAATTGAATAAATGTCATAAAACAATTTCTAAAAATTTTAAACTAAAAACATTTTCTAGTTTTCTGTTTTGAGAAACTATTTTTCAAAATTACAAACCAAACACGTTTTTTATAATTCGAAAATAGCCCCTCAAAATAGAAAACGTTTTCTGTTTTCAAAAATAAAAGCAGAAAACGGAAACGCAAACCAAACACACCCTTAAATTCCCTCCGTAGCTGGTATTGCCCATAACTATTCGAGACTCAAAACTCGCAGCTTCTGACTCAACGGTGTTCTAATCGATTGAACTAAAAACTTCGGTTCCCACTTTATTTAAACAAATGGGTTTAAACATTAGTCAAGTCAAGCCGAGCTTATTACGAAAAACGAGTACGCGATCCTAGTGAATGAGTTATATTACGAAAAACAATTGAGGTGTACGTTAATGAACCTCCGAGGTAAGTTTGGCTTCGGCCCATTTAAAATTTTTCTTTATAAAACATTTTTTGTGAGATATTTACTTTTACATATTAAGCAAAGTCTAAAAATTTTTTTAGTCAACTTCTAACTCTGCCCCTGCATTAACTACTATATATTAATTACAGTTAATAGTTGCAATGTTGTTATTGGTTTTAACTATGTTTTAGATGTAAACTTGGATTTATTTATGATGACTGCCACTTTGTTGGGCACACGTCACTTGGTTACGATACAATTATGGAACTGGTGAGCACAACTTATGCAAATGAACATGCATAGAAATTAAATTACTAAATGGAAATAATCTTACTTATAATTATGTGACTTCAACGAATTCACATTATGTACTTGAGACAATTTTACTCATTTAAATTTTCAAGATAATAACTTTTATGTAATTGTCTTTTAGGATAAAAATGAATTTTCATTCAAGTGCAAGTAGAAAAACAGTTACCCGAGAAGTAACAAATATAACGTCTCTCTTTATCTTCAAAGTTTTGTATCAGTAATGACACTTGAGAATTTTTACATAACAAAGAGGGATTAATTTGTGAAAATTGGAGTGGAATGAAATTTTCTACTGTGGTAAAAATGTTTTATATATTGGATAGGATTAATCATTTATCGAAACATCATAGCTCTACTTGAAGTCTTTGAATATTTTGTACTTTCTAATCCCAGCCCTCACTCGGGGTTGGATCGAGAAGGGTTAAATGGGAAAGTTTTAACACAATTGAGGTGTATGTGAAATCGGAGACGATAGCACCAATTCGTTTTAAAAAAGTTATAACTTTTCTTAAGTAATGCTATTTAGTCCCACTGGTATTACCGTCTCAATCTATGTGGCGTGAATATGGTATTAATTGATAAGTAAAATTAAATGAATTATTTAATTCCACCGTTCATTTAACCAATCATTTAGTGATACCTGAATTGGGATTGCAAATCCAGTGAGATTATATAGCATTATTCATTTTTCTTACATATTAAGTCCCCGTTTGATTCTCATTCTTATAAGAATGTGAATGAAAAATATAGCTATTATTGGAACCAATAAGAGAGAGGAAGTCAAATATAATTGTTTGGAGTGATGGATAACGATCATATTTATTATTTTTAGAGACAAAAAATGAGAAACAAACGAGAGTTAAGTGCTTATTTGATACAGATTTTAAGCAAATTAAAATCAATTTATTATCGTTATTTCACTATTTCAATTGTCATCTTTAAATTCTTCTCTAATAGATAGAATTCACTTTATTTCTAACAATCAAAAAATCAATTATCAAAATCTCTATCAAACAAACACTAACTCAACTTTAAAAAAATATCCATAGTCACGTTCTCAGTCATTCAATGCATTAACTACTATTGGTGCTTAAGTCAACGATGGCGTTTAAGTCAACAATGGAAGCACCCATTTGCAAATATATTAAACATTTAATTATATTTTAGATGTAAACTTGGATTTAATTATAATGATTGCCACTTTGTTAGGCACTTGTCACGTGGTAACGATACAATTATTTGCGGAGCTAGTGAGCACAGGATCCTCCCTCCCATTTTTATAAAAACAAAGACAGCTGGTTTTTCTTGGAAGAGATAAATTATCATAAACAAAAAGCTGTCATTTGAAAATTTGTCTGGTAATTAATGATGTAACAAAAAATTTGGGAATATGATGCGGTGTCCACTCTTGTCAGGGGATTTACTTTAAATAAATTATATTCTATACGATGTGTGTCCTTTTTTATGTAAAAGATGAACATCGTGATGTACATGTAACATAATTCATTCCATTAAATTCCTGTTTAATTCCTATTAAATTTAATTATATTATATTTTATTTTTATTTTTCTTATTTTCAATCACACAATCTTTTATAAAATAATATTACACATAAATTAAATTTTTTTTTAATCACTCATTTTTTAAAAAAAAATACTATTCCTCAAATTCCATTTTCAGGGTAATGGGAGTCGAACAGGGCCAAGTGGAGTGATTGAGTAAGGTGAGCTTTATAAGTAACTTCGTGTTATTGCAATTTTGCGTTATAATACGTTGCACTTGAGCGCGTGCACACAAACACCCTACCCTTTTCCTCTCCGTATTCCTCTTCATCCCTTCTCTGCACTCAATTCCACCACGCACCCTACCTCACAGAGCCACCACTCGTTAAGGTCGCTGCAATTTTGTGTTATTATCTCTCAATCAGATCCTTTGAAGAAATCAAAGATGGCTTATGCTGCTGTATTATCTCTTAAACAGAATCTGAAGCAGATATCAAATCCTCTTCTAGACCAACATCAAACTCCTCTTCAGGACCAACAAATTAAATCTCTCCATGAAAAGTTGAGTTTCTTACTAGATTTTTTGGATGATTCCTGGCAGAGGAGGAGCGAGGAACTACGATGTTTGGAAAGGGAAATTCGAGATGCAGCCTACAAAGCTGAAGATATGGTCGAATCACATATATCTAAGAATTTTGGTGAGGAAGGCTTTCAAGAAAGACAAATGAGAGACCAAACTTTTTGTGTAAACTTTGAGATAGTAGCAGATGAAATTGATTCCATTATGACGAAGGCTGCTAAGCTTACGGAATTGTGGGGCGCAACAGATCTGCATCAGAGCCAGAGGACTTCTTTGCCAACTGGACCATCAAGACTTCCTTCAATCGGCAAGAATGATATGGTCGGGTTTCGTAACGATATGATGCAATTAATGGATCGACTTACTGGATATCCACCTGCTCTCCAAATCATCCAAGTCACTGGCATGGCAGGTATTGGCAAGACCACACTTGCTAGAAATGTTTACAATGATCCATTTGTTGCATATCATTTTCCTATTCGTGCCTGGGTATCAATTTCTCAAGACTATCGTGAGCGAGAAGTCTTGCTGAGTCTTCTGGATTCCATGAAACTACTCAGTGCTGAGATGCATCAACAGAGCAGTACTGAAGGATTAAAAGAGTATCTACATGAAAGTTTAGAAGGTAGGAGGTTTCTTGTTGTGGTGGATGACTTTTGGAACCCCGAGGATTGGAATTTTTTGAGAATGATATTTCCAGACGACAAGACTGGAAGCCGGATCATGTTGACAACACGCCTGTCGAGTGTGGTTGACGCCCGCTACCAGAGCTTTCCCTATCATATGCAGTTTCTAGATGAGACTGACAGTTGGAATCTACTTCGTCGGGAGGTGTTTGGGGACGATTCTTGCCCTCCTGAGCTGGTGGAAACTGGAAAGGAGATTTCAACGAATTGCAAAGGACTTCCACTTGCCCTTGTCGTGATTGGCGGCCACCTTTCCAACGCCAACAGGACAAAGGATCACTGGGAGTACGTTGCAGAAAATGTCAAGTCAGTTGTAAATGCAGCAGATGAAAAATGCTCAGAAATACTTTCTTTAAGTTATGATTACTTGCCTCATTATCTCAAAGCATGTTTTCTCTATATGGGAGTTTTTCCAGAAGATGAAATTCGTGTCTCCAAACTCATCAAGTTATGGGCTGCAGAGGGATTTCTAAAACCAGTCAGAGGTAAAACTTTGGAAGAAGTGGCAGAGGAATATTTGGGAGATCTAATTTCCAGAAATCTTATTTTGATTAGTGAGAAGAGTTCTACTGGAAAGATAAAAACCTGTAGCATCCATGATATGGTAAGGGACCTATGCTTAAGAAAAGCTCAGGAGGAAAGGTTTTGTCATGTCACAAATAATGTTTTTGCTGAAGGCATTAAGTATTCACGTCGTCTATGTATTCATCCATGGGGTACTTTTCACAAGGAGTGGTCAAACTCTGACAATTTAAATGTCAATCCGTCCATGGGATCCTTGGCACCAGTCCGTTCTATTTTATGTTCTGTTTTTGCTGGCGAGATTTATAAATCAAGTGACGGAAAACATTTTCCACTGCTCAGGGTGTTGGACCTTAAAGGAAAATTAGAATGGGATCTAATCGGGGAAATAAAACTAGTTCACTCAAGGTACCTCTCCTTCTCCTCATTTAAGAAAATTTCCATCCCTAAAACATTACCTGATTCTCTTCGGTTTCTACAGACCTTAATTGTAGACTGTAAAGAAGTACATCTACCAGAGGAAATATGGAGGATGCCACAGTTAAGGCATCTCCTGTTCGGTAGGTGTTATTTGCCATGCCCTGCTAGATCACCAATAGATGGGGAGAATTTAGTTCTAGGAAACCTTTTGACATTGTCGAAAGTGAGTAGTTCCAGCTGTACCAAGGAGGTCTTTGAAGGAGTTCCAAATCTAAACAAGTTAGGAATTTTGGTTGAAAAATTTCAAATGAGACCTTTTTTTCTAAGCAATCTAGTTAATCTTCCTCAACTTAAGACCCTGAAAATCAGAAGTGGAATTTACTCAGATGTTAGTGTCCTGATGAATTTGACTTTCCCACCAAATATCAAAAAGTTAACTTTAGAGGGTTGCCATATTCCTTGGGAATATATGACTATCGTCGGTTCAATGCCAAATCTTGAAGTGCTCAAACTGCAACATTATGCCTGTCATGGGCCGGAATGGGAGCCAACGGAAGGAGAATTTTGCAAACTAAAATTTCTGCTACTTCATGGAACAGATCTAGTGCAATGGAAAGCTGATGAGACTCACTTCCCAAGCCTTGAGCACCTAATTCTTAGGAGCTGCTTCAAACTAGAGGAGATCCCTTACAGTATTGGAGATGTACTAACGCTTCAAATCATTGACTTGGATGACGCTAGCCCTTCGGCTGTGATTTCGGCAAAGCAAATACAAGAAGAACAAATGAACTTGGGAAATGATAGCCTTCAAGTTTGTGTCCTTCATAAGTACCACTTGAAACGTCTAGAGGTAAAAACGATTCCTTCAGCCATACATACTACTGCTAATATCTGATTATTTCTCTATATCAAGAAAATTTACTGGCCTTCATAATGAAATTTTAGAAAGCATAATTTTTTCTCCCAATTTTTTTTTTTTTTTTAAACCACTCTAGATTCTATGATTTACTAATAAAGAAAATAAACATAAAATTTAAAAGGGCTTCTGGCTGGACCTCTAGTTAAAGGTACAAGAAAAATAAACTTATCTCGTCTAAGGGCAGATAATACAATATAAAAGCTAAAGAACTATACCTCTTGTGCCCTTGCCATTGTACATCGAGGGTGTCTCTCCTACTCATGGGTACTTTCATACTCGCTATGTAAAGGGGACTTTGTAAATTTATTATCATACCGAAGTTCGGAAAGTCCATATCTTTCTCATATTCTCCATAAATATATCCTAAAATTTCCCTAGCGTACTCCGTCGCCCTTGGATAGAAAGGTGATGCCTCCTCTTTGACCTCATAACTCAGCAACTGCCACCTTCAGCAAGCATGACTTGCACTGCTGCTTATATCTGATAATTTCACCACATTTATTTTAGTTACAGAAGCACCAAAAGAAGACGTGAGTCTTCTCTTGGAAACCGAATTTGAAAGATACAAGTGTTAATTGCATAATGAAATAGTTCTTGCAAGTAAGCAATTGTGTGGGCCAAATTTAATCGAGTAGAACTGGTTATAGAAACTGTTATATAACATTTATTATTAATTTCTTCCAATTGCAACAGCAAGAGAAAGCAAAGGCTCAAATTATGGCTAAAGTCTCGTCAAATGACGACACACTGCAACTCGAGGCCACAGCTCAGTTTTGCAGTCTTCTTTTTGGTAATCAATTTATTTACCTTTATTGAAGCCAATTAATTTGATGTTAATCTTGTTACTGTTTTTCTCTGATTCCATTCGCTTTCAATTAATTTATTTCCATAGACTCAATTCCACTATCGAAGGAATTAATATCCGGAGTTGTTCCTCGACTCGTCGAATTTCTTGCTAGAAATGATTACCCACAGCTCCAGGTTTAATTTGTGCCATTAATTGCTTCTTCTTGTTTATTTCATGTTTTTCAACTGCTAAATACATTGACTTATATATTTTTCTAGTGTAAGGCAGCAGAGGCTATAACAAGTATTTCTAATGGTTCATCTGATAACATCAACATCATGATTGATCATGGCGCAGTTCCCATTTTGGTGAGCCTTCTTAGTTCTCCTGAGGACATTCTTCGTGAACAGGTAGGTTTTATGTTGGGATTTTATCACAAATGTATAACATTAATTAAATAAATAATGAAGTATAGATTATCATTCCCATGAGAACCACTTGATTAAAATAATGAAAAATGGCACAAAATCTCTCTGAATCTAAAGTGGAGAAAGCCAGAGGAATGTAAATTTCTATTAAGTGATTAAAGCCTATCCTCCCCGACAAGAGTTGAAACATGGATGGCCTACACCTATGTGTTAAGCTGCAGATAAACTGTGCCTTTAAACTAGTGCCAAAAATGACATTGTTCCACTGCTGCTTTCACGTTGTCTTCAGCTGAGTAGAGGCAACCCCTTTTAGCAGTAAATGACATTACAGCACCGTGCTTCCTCTGTTATGGATTTGTTCATCTAACTTCTTACAAATTCATAAAGACTATTACGAGCTTTGAATTTTATTTCATGGCTGCTCTTGACTGTATGTCCAACTATTTAATATAGGCACTTCATTTGTTGGGAAATTTTGCCGGTGATTCAACAGAATCTCGTGATCTTATCCTTGGTTATGGAGTGTTAATGCCCTTATTGGCACAATTTAATGATAAAACAAAACTATCCATCATGAGAAAGGGTACGCGGACATTGTCAAACATTTGTGGGGGAAGGATATGGCCTCAGTTCAAGCAGGTTTGTCTTCTAATTGCTTTTCTGTTCGGTTTTGATGCATATCAATACTGCTGGACCTTTATATATTTAAACAACTTTTCTAAATATTACTGAGCAGGTGAAATCTGCCATCTGTCCTCTTGCTCATTTGATACATACAGACGATGAAGAAGTCCTTAATAGTGCATGCTGGGCACTACTCGGACTAAGTTATAGGAAAAAAGATATAATCCAAGCTGGTGTTTTCCCTCGCTTGGTTGAGCTTTTACTGTCAGTGAAAAAATCCTACATGATCTCTTCCTTGTTTTTTTGATTTGTAACTTTTGATTTTATTTATTGAACTTCATAGCTGTGCTTATTTGGCTTTGTGGTTCGCAGATATCCTTCACTGTTTGTTTTGATTCCTGCCATGTGCGTTGTTCATAATATTATTTCAGATGTAGATGATATCCAGATTCAGGTATCAGCTGACTCTTCTTCTTAACCTTAATTAGAAAACTTCTTTTTGAGCACGAGTTTGATGTTATGTGGTATATTCAACGTTCCACTGGTAGGCCATCAAATTTATACTCTATTGCACAAACCAACTCTTGTTTGCTTGTTTAATATAAAAGATGTATATAGCAGTTTTGATAATCGACATAGTCATCATGTATTGCATTTACTGTAGTGGCGAGTTAATTCTGTTGTTACCGTTGTCATCTTATGACCCTCTTAGTGGATCGCAGATGAGCATAATAATAGATTAACTTACTTTTAAGCAAGTTTTGTTCCGAAACACATTTTTTCTTGAACTTTTCATTGACGCCTAAGTAAAAAGTAAAAATTTATTTTGAGAGTTCGATGACTAATTCTCATGTATTAGAATTCTTTCAAGATAATTTTGGTTTTCATAACCATTTTTTGAGGACTCGTGATCGTTAAAATATATTATTGGTTTCTGAAATCATTTCTATTCCTGTTCAAGTTTGCTATTGCTCTTATTCTTTTTTGATTATCCTCTTGCGTGTGGCTACATTGAATTCATTTAACAGAAACATATTTGTGGTTCTAAAGTTGTATGAGGGTGTATCTTGGTATGCCATTGTGACATACTATAACAATTCCCCTTGACTAGGAAAATACTTTAACTAATGGAAATTTAAAGAGACAATCTAATTCTTTAATGACCCCTTTTTTACTCAGCTCATGTTTGATAAAAATTAAAATTCAGATTTTAATTTAAGTGAAAATCAACATTAATTTTAACAACATATTCCATCAACTTTTATTAAAACTAACTAAAAATCTGATTTTAATACCCATCAAACAGGGGCTCAGCATCATCCTGAGAAATCAACCCTTGTACTCTTTGACCACTTTCCAAGAAGAACACTAATAAGAACTTCAATGCTAACACTGTAATTAAGGATGTAAAGCTGTATTATCTTTTTTACAAACTTGCTTTTGTTGAGTGATTTCCAGGTTATCATTGATAAAGGGGCTCTTCCTTGATCATCCTGAGAAATCAACCCTTGTACTCTTTGACCACTTTCCAAGAAGAACCCTAACAAGAACTTCAATGCTAACACAGTAATTAAGGATGTGAAGCTGTATTGTCTTTTTTACAAACTTGCTTTTGTTGTGTGATTTCCAGGTTATCGTTGATAAAGGGGCTCTTCCTTGCCTGCTTAATTTGTTGACACAAAATTACGAGAACATGATCAAGAAGGCCACTTGTTGGATCATTACACAGGTCATTCAACGGACTAAGGATAATATTCAGGTTTGCAACAATTTTTCTTTTTATTGTATTGAACACCGAGGCTACATATTTTTCACTTGCCATCTTTCACAAATTTTATCTCGTAGTACTTCAGTTTCACCGAATTTGACAATTGTACTTCTGTTTCTGATTGCTAAGTTGAAGTTTTCCCTTTATCTTTTAAAATGATGGATGTTGAGGATATGCCATCTTAATACACAGGCTGTGATTGAGGCTGGTATTATTTCGTCTCTTGTCCAACTGCTTCAAAATGCTGAATTTGAGTTACAGGATGTGGTTGCTTGGGCTATTTTTAATGCCACGGTGGAGGGAACTAGTGAGCAAATCAAGTAAATTCTTCACAGCTATTGTCGTGTTCTCGTTGCTTATTTTATATTTAGATTCAGTATTAATGCAATATCTTGGTGGTAGGTTCTTGGTGGATGAGGGCTGTATAAAACCATTGTGCGATCTTCTAGTTTGTCCCAATGAAGCGAATATCATCAAATACTGCTTGGGAGGCCTTGAGAACATTCTGAAGGTTGGAGAAGCTGAGAAAAACCAAGGCAACACCGAAGATATGAATGTCTTTGCTCAGATGATTGACGATGATGGGGGTCTTCAGAGGATTAAGAACCTCCAGAGTTATGACAACAGTGAAATATGCGAAATTGCCGTGAAACTACTTGAAACATATTGGCATCAAGAGGATGATAATGATGAGAACTGACGACGACGATGACTGAGGATGAGGATGAGGATGAAGAGGATGAGGATGAGGATGAGGATCATAATGATGAGGATAATGACGACGACGAGGAGGAGGAGGAGGAGGAGGATGATAATGATAAAGACTTTGATTCAAAACCAAACACCCTATCATGACTTTCAGCTGCCTTTTGGCGAAGTTCCACAATCTGGGCTTGTTTATTATACAGTAGTTTATCATTTCCTTTGTTTTCTACTAAAATATTTAGGAAAACGCATGGTTGGTACAAACTAATGGATTAGAGCAGACAACATAAATGATAAGATTTTGAACCTTTTTGTTCCATTCTAGTCAACCATCAGGGGCATGGTCTTCAAGTGAGCCATCAAGGAGAAACGTGCAAGCTGAAATACGGAAATATATAACAATTTATTATTATTATTATTATATTTTTTTGGGATGAGTTTGGAATTAGTAAAAAGGAACTCTAAAATGAAAAAATCATATCTAACAAAGTACCAATCTGCTAAGTGGCCTGTATAAGAAAGTAATGGACCAACAACTTCTTTAAATCTCTTCATCTGGTCACGTTTTATGATTTTTAATATCTAGCTCTTTATAATTTCTAAAAGATGTGTCTTGGCTATCGAGAAGTTATGGCCATTGGAATATGTTTCTATCTAAAGAGACATAAAGAAGGTTTTCAAAAAGAAAAAGACGTGATTTTTTAGTCATAGCATATTCCATTATATTCTATTATCCTTATCTCCTATAATATTCATGTTTTAAACAATAGATTTACATTGAACGGTCTGTGTGATTTTCTAATATTTTTAGACAACTGAGTTTACTAACATAAAAAATTGTTCTCTTGCCCACAGTGAGTAGGATAAGACTATCAACTTACTGATGTGGCAAGAATATGTTCTCTCCAAATGTGAGAAAATTAAGCAAGGTTCCCTTCAAAGTAGCAAGAAAAACTTCCTACTATAGGCAGGAGAATGAGAGTGTACTAACATATTAGTTTATTAGTATGTTATTTATAGAAATTCAATTATTAAAACATTATTATTATTATTTTTGTATTATATAAATATATTAAATAAAATTTAGTTCATCTTATTGTTGAAATTTTTATACATGTTATGTCAAACATATCTCTTGAAAGTTATACGTACAACTTATCAAGATATCAAATCTGCCTCAATTATGCAAGTTCTATTATTGTCTGATTGTTATGTTAAATTTTCGTATTGCTATCCTGGAAATATCTCAAACACTTGACCATAAATGAATGTTTACAAGAAGTTAGCTATACATTTTTATTGTTCCTCTTTGCTATAGAAATCGATAAAAAGATTTTTGTTATATAATGAAATTTGTTGTACCATACATGATACATGAGAAATACGTATGGAAGAGGAAATCCATGCAAGCCAAGTAGCGAGTGCATATACGTGTAGATAGTGATAGTTATAAAGAATTGATCTATCACGATTCTGAGCATTGCTCGGTTGCTCCTTGAAAATTTGAAATCAAGTCTTGATCAATAGAAATATCCGCATGTGACTTCCAAAATGATATGACTTTCTAGTTGTCTACTTGAATATATCCACCGCTTCCCTCAATACATAAACGCTCAAAATCATTGACTTCATAAATGCTCATCATTCACTTCAAAAATAAAAAACTTTTTTAATTGATATTAATTTTTAAAAACAATAAACTTATTTTATTGTCAAAGTCAAATAGGTAACATACACTTAGGGACGGATCCATGATTGGATCCAAGACTGGGCTACAAAATTTCAAACCAGGCTACTACGCGAAAAAAATTTTTTACACATAAAAACTGATTTTCTACCAAAAAAAAAAAAAAAAACCTTATAAAAAATTTTCTTGGGATTGAGTGTGGGGGGAGGGGGGCTACAGCCTAGCCCAGCCAGCCCAGCTCCCTCTAAATCCGTCTCTACATACACCTTACCTCATGGATGAGTAGTAGAAGACTTGCAAAACTCTCTTTATATCTTCTCAAGTATAAAAGTGACAAGCATTGAGGAGAAGTCGCCAAGAACCTAGGTGTAAAAATATATTGTAAAGTCAAGTGAGACTTTTTAATTAAAAAGTGACATACAATATCACTTTTTTTTCTTTCTAATTACAATATCACTTTTTAATAAAAAGACATACAATGTCATTTTTATTTATTTATTTATTTTTAACGTGATAGGATCTCCTTTCTTTCAAATTTTTAATTATTCTTTATTCAAGAACAAAACATTTCTTCAAGAAAGAAATTGAAGCACTTTTTGATAAACTTTTTTCTTGAGGTTGCTCGTGGTTGATAATGTTGTTTTCATAGACGATGCCAATCTATTAATCTTGAGTTTTGCAGGGGTGATATAGCCAACGGATCTTAACTCCACTCATGTCCATATAGGCAAGCTTCTGCACTCTTGGACAAATTGTTAGTTGCAGTCACCTTCTTCAGAATTAGGGAAGCCAGTCGCGAGCACTCCGACAATCAAGTCGTTGAGAAAAAAAAATTTGGGTATGAACGTGCTTGAGACATGAACTACAAAGGTATTCGGGCACCGAGGGTATATCAAATAATGTAAAATGATGAGCAAGGTTATAGTTTGAGTGCATAAAATTACACTATCTTCAAAATATGAGTTTTTTTATAGTAGAAGAGAAATTATTATCGTTGGATGAAAATACACATGGCCTCATTTTGATGGTCAAAATGACCTCTCCTAGATGTCAATTAGTACATCATAGTTGGGTGGTATTTAATGTTTCTAAAAAGTGGCATCCTAGTATCTAGGTCTGAAATATAGACTAACAATTTGCCTTTTAATCACCTGATACAAAAATGTCACATCAATCAATCATAGGAGGATTTAGAACGAAAGATCTCTTGCAAGATGTGGTGAGAGATCCCTTTTATCAATGAGAAGCATAATTGCCTCAGATTCCTTCCCTACAGCATGCATAGCACTTCGCTTAGGCCATGAAGGGTCGGCCTATACCTGACATCTTATTGAAATGATGCATCACCTTGGGTACCTTATATATGATCTCGTGTTGATCATGTAGGATAGTTATATGGAGTGTCGACCTGATTGGACCTGCTAGTTGACGTCACATGATGATAATATGGGGTCCCATAAGAAGAAACGTGACAACATCTTCTGGAAGATTTAAAGAAAACAAGACATTCTTATGAATTTATCTTGGTTGAGATGGGTAAAACGAAAATAGCTTTTTCAAAAGTCAAAACTTAAAAACAATCTCTACTAACGCACAATAGACTTTGAATCCAAAGTGATATGAACGACGAAAACAAATATTTTAGGTTATGAAAATCGATTATCTTGTTTTTAGACAATTCAAATTAGCTTGGGATTTTTTCTTCTTTGAAAATTCTTTTAAGTCATTTAGTCTAAGATCATTAATTAATATATTCAAGGTCAAGTAATGGCGGAGCCAACACTCAACGATGGGGCGCAACCACGCGTGATGGCTTCATAGGAGTTGCCGATCGTGAGCAGAGCCATAGTCACGACAGGAAGAGGTCGGAGATGATTGGGCTTTTTATTTTTTTGTTTTTAATTATGATTGTGGTTTTTTTTTTTTGTATATTTTTTTTTTGGGTTATTGGGCTTCTTGTATTTTTCTAAAAAAATGCCCCAATCAAATGCTCAATCTTATATACACACTGAATGTGGAAGAGAAAAATAGAAGATCGAGTCAAAGAAAAGATGTTGGGTTTGAAGAGAGAAAAGGACGAGCTTGCATCCATTTCCATAGATCGAAGTGCCAAGGTTGGTGAAAAAGTGAAGGAGCTAAATGCACGGTTGAAATCATCGGCAATAATTTTTGTTACGCCCTTATCTGAACCAATTCGAAAAGTCCACCATCACATCATGCGAGGTGTGGAACACTCATCCGAAGTGGTTCCGAAGTGACTTCACCAATGGTGACGATCTGCTATCACACTACGAGGCATAGGTAATCTTGCGAGATTGACCGAAGCGTCCTCGCCCCTGAATCCGACTCGAAATGCACTCCGGGAGACCTCGACCAGAGGATCCGCCGCCAATTTTAGAATGAGATTTTTGTCAAGATCTTTTCTGCCCCTAAGGTTTAAAGTGATTTGACGTCTCCATTTGATGTGACATATCAACTTTATGTCAACTCAACTCGAGAGAAGTAATTACCACCTACTCTATAGACGCGGCTGATTGACGCCTATGAGCAGACGCCTCATACCGTTCAGATGTATAGACGTGTCCCACATCCAACGGTTCTCCTCACCTATAAATGTCGAAGGCTTGGCAAGAGGCAAAGGTAATGAAACTCTTACTACTTAGCACTTCATAGCAAGCAAATATATATTCTCTTCCCCACTATTTTGCACAACTTTAGTACTGTTCTGATCACCTGAGCCTAACTTGACCGTCGGAGTGTATACAGCCGTCGCCACCTCTGCTGGTTCCGGTCGTGTGCATCTGACAGTGCCTTGATTGTGCGTAGGGAGGAATACGTGGAGTGACTATCGGTTGGTCACGTGGATGGTCCAATTCCCGGGGTCAACAATTTTCAACCACAAGGTATATCATAAACATTTTTATAATTAAAGTATTTAATGTTAATAATAAAAGATTTGATTAATTATTTTCTGCTTCTTGCTATATAAAATATTCATTTTACAAGTCAAGAATCATACCTTTGTAGCTTACATTTCTTATGGCTTTTCAGTGAATAAATCTCACCACATTCCCAAGCCTGTCGTGAGTTTGCTCTCTGCCTCTCCCGCCTCCCCCCTTTCCCCTTTATTTGATTTTTGTTCTTTTAGAGTTTAGTTCATTTTTTAATTTATCATATATGATTTATATTTTATGAATTTTGTTTATGAGAGATGGATGTGTTTGTGAGCTTAGAGTGTTGATTGAGAATTTCGATTTTTGTGAATTTGAGAATTGGCGATTTTGTGAATTCGAGAATTTAAGAATATTAGGGATTCTATTGCTAAATGCTGAGGTTTATGATTTATGAAAATTGAGAATTTGTGAATTTGAGAATATTTGATACATATGGACTTTGAATTTGATTTGTGATAAATGACAACGATAAATTGGGGTGATAAATAATAAATTGTTGTTGGAAATTCAAAACTGAAAATTGGCGATAGTTTAACCTTTGATTTACAATTAATTTTCATACAGTTTAATCTATGATTTTTTTTTCTCACTATTGCAATTGTTGACTGTCAACGATCAATGATCAATGGTAGACGACCACCTTAGGTGACCTCCTATCTAGGATATGCCACTGAGGTC